GTTATGCAATTGACTTAAAGTAAAATTATGCTATGGTTACAAAAATTCACGAACCGCGGCAATGTAAACTGAGCCTAAGACGTCCCTTTAATAAATAATTTAACGAGATTCTTGTTAATACACGGGATATTAATGAAATTATAGCTCTATATTAAGAGATTATGAGCTTAATAGTTGTTATTTGACGACTCCGGTGACCTCGACTCCGGGTCCGATTTTCGATAGGACCAATTTGGGAAATGAACTTTCTAATTTGATCTAGGTGGTTTGGGAAGTGCCCCAGAGTGAATTGCTCTAGCACTCATAGAATAGTGAATTCCCTAGTTTGAGACCAGGCAATTGGTGTGATTGTCTGGCACATATTTTTAAAAGTTATAGAACCGGCGTAATTGCAAGTAAAATCTACAATTTCAATTCATACAACGTTTGTCTTACCAATCGTCTACGACGCTGTCTCTAGCGAGTGTTTAAAAGTCAACAGTAAATTTCTTTGCAGCGCTGAATTATTATTATTTAATAAATTACTCTTAGCATCGTTACGGTATTTCTTTTCATGACACCAAGTGATGGGACGAACAAGTCGTGCGCCTGGTGGTAAGCGACACGCCTCTCCATGACAGTTGCAGTGCCGTTCATATTAATCTGAGTATATTTAAATCGCATTAATCTGAAGGGCACTACCACTGCGCCCGTCACCTACACAAGTTGACAAGTTCAAAATGTGCTTGTAATTTCAGCAGCACATTTACTCTTCAAAACCGAAGCGCATTAATGCTCACTTTACTGATTCGTTTATTGAGATTTAAAAACTATTATGTATCCAAGAAACACCATTTCATTGACGAACAGTACCATGAGAAATCATTTGTATAGTTGCTAGCTACCGCAATAATTTCACAAGCATTCTTACTCTTCAAAACCGGGACGTAGCAATGCTCATGTTACTGCTTGGAGGCAGAAATAGGTAAGGTGGCTGTACTTTCCTGGACAAATTCTATCACAAGAAGCTCTAGTGCTATCAATCTAGCTACATACAAGTAGATAATGGTTGACAACTTGAAAGATTGAGTAGGTAATTCAGTAACAACGGTTACGTAGAGTACGCGTTCATATTTTCAATGTAAGCGCATAAAGTAACTGAACAAAATATATTAAAGAAAGGCAAAAAGAAGTTTAACGATAATCGAAAAAACTAGTGAAAGGCTTTGAAAGTGGAAGTCTTAGTCGCATAACAAAAAAACCACAAGATGTTCGATACGAGCGTGATAAAATCACTTAAAAAAATTACTTATTTTGGCGTTAACAAACGGCTGTTATTCGAAAGTTAACTTATTTTCTTACTCTAATTGATTAGTATTTGCAATCTTGTGTAATAAATTACAGTTACGGATTATTGCTCTCCTGAGAAAACAACTTATTAAAGTCAAAAGATACATCTAACGGAAACTGCAATACTTAAAATAAATTGGTGTAGTTTGAAAGCTCTGGCACAATATTTGGCCCATAAATATTGGTATAATAAAACCACATGTGATCATACGTCAAAAGTGCTCGTCAGTTATCTCTCTCAGTTACGTCAAAATCGTAAAAATATGACGAACTATATGATACAAATTATGTATATGTGAAATTTTATAATTCTCTTATATAAGCATAAAAAAGTTATCTACTAGCAGTAGAGCTCCTTGTGAAAAAGTTCGTCCACGGAAGTACTGCCACCTTACTTATTTCTGCCGCCAAGCAGAAATGTGAGCATTGCTGCGTCCCGGTTTTGAAGGGTAATGATGCTGGCGAAAATACTGCGGTAGCTAGCAGCTCTAGAAATGGTATCTCATGGTACAGTCCGTCCATGAAATGGTGTTTCTTGGATACATATAGTTTTTAGCGACTTTAAAAAAAAGGATTGTAAGTTTTTTTTATGACATAAATAATAAAATTACAGGCACATGAGACCTGTCAACTATGTCTCAGGGTGACGAGCGCAGAGGCAGTGCCCCTTAAATCATTGCGATTTGAAACCCTTGTGTAGCACTGCAAATGCTATGGGCAAGCGTGTCATTTACCAACAGGAGCACGACTTGTTCGTCCTGTCAATTGAAATCATAAAAAAAACTAAACTTTAAACCTCCTGAAAAGTTGTCATTTTACAGATATTATGTCCAAAGTACTAAAGTTGTTTTCGTATTATAAATATTTTGCTTCGGAATAAGGCTTGTAAACTTGAACTTCCTCTGTCGTTGACCTAGTTATTTTGGTTAGCAGTCTTTAACGTACCTCAATTTCTTTTCAATATTTAATATAATATATTATTTTTAATAGTAATAACAATAATAACGCACACACTCATAGCCCTGTACTAGGGAAACCCTGTATCCCGGGTGCCATGGACACACCCATAGACAACCACAAATTACACCCAAACTCACGAGAGAAATAAATGTACGCCATTCTCGGCCCGGGAATCGAACCTGGTAATTCTGCGTCGCAGTCCAGCATGGTAATCGTTCGGCCACAGAGGCAGATACGATTTCACAACGATAGATGCGGCCTTCTCTCTACGCCGAGCGTCAATAATTTACAGTCAGCTCTATTGTACCTGGGCTTTCTGATTTTGACTTAGCCAAATTTACCACAACTTACCAGGCATAAGGAAGTAAACGAAAACGGCAAGCGCGACGCAGATGACGATTAAAGCGACAGGCCATCGCAGCGTGCGGAACATACGTGAAAGCTTGCTTGCGTCCGCGTCAGAGTCGTTTGGCACGCGGTACAGGCTGTCCGGGTGGGAGCCCTACAAGGAAAAGTTAAAATTTAATAAAATGTACATATGCTCAGCAGTCAGAAGTAGATAGATTGTTACGGTACAATAATAACAAAACAATCGACGGTAAGTTTGATAAATTCGAAAGACGGTATAAATAAATAGGTACAATGCCAACGAAGGAAACGAAAGAAGCTGGCTGGGTCGTAATAAGTCTCTGCCTACCTCAAACGACAAAATAGGCGTGTAAGTTTCTATATGAATAGGCGCAATAACATGTAGGCGGGTACAATATCATCTCCTTGGACCCGAGGCCAGCATAAGCCAGCATTATGCGAGTTAATATAGAAACAGCGACATACAAACTAGAAACAGGTCATAGATCCATGAACATTCGAAAGGTTAAGTGAAGAGAGTCAAAGAGATAAGCAACATACATTTTTTTATTCTATGAAACCTAAATTGGTCGTTTAGCTACACGTTAAAATTTTAAATTAAAGTTGGTTACACACTTATTGCATAATTTATTCCATTCGGAGCTAAATACTCTGAAAGGAGAATTTAAATATTTTGATATTTATTGATATTTTGTCTTGTATGAATTACATTACACACACACACATTGCGAGTATGCTATCGCGTGCATGCACCCATCTTTCCCTTTTTTATATGTCATATTTGCTTACTTTTTTTTACTTGTACTTACGCCACTAAACTATCGTCATTTTTTTCTTTAATATCTTACAATATTTGTAAAACTTGATGCTTGTAATTTATTTACATTGTAATGCTGCTTTATCAAACACCATTTTAACAGGCTGGGTTGAGAGGCTGGAGATCTGTTACACGTGTTAGTTCCTAGTATGGACTCCACGGTCTCTTACGTATTTCAATACTTAAGCATTTGATGTAAAGTACTTTATAAAACTTTCTAATCTTTGTAAAAAGAAAATAAAGATTATTAATATTATTACATATATTTGCTTTAATTAGTTTGTCATTAATGTACAAACTGTTATAACCATAAAAAGTCCTCATCCAGGTCGGCGATTTTTTTAAAACATGATTACCATAATAGCAACATAAACGTCTACATATGTAATTTGTAATATTTATTCAAAGCATGTTGCCCGATTCGATTCTATTGCGTGATATACTTGTAATATTTATATTTAAGAAGTCCCTCGTTTTGGGTATAAAATGTTCGCACAATTTGCGACTTCACTCGACGCTTATTCGTATGGTTATATAATTTTGAATGAATATGATTGAAGTGCTGTTTAGCGATGAAACACGAAAGGCTGCACCACTCGCACTGTTGTGTGACTATGAGCGGTCAAGCGTTTTTGCAATAATTTTAATCGTATTATAGATTAAAAAAACCGAAATAAATGATTCATTTATCGAATTCTCAGGTTTTCGTCATTGTTACACATTTTTTCAGATATCTAAATCACGTGGGTCTATGTCATGAGGGGTACAAGGAACATACTTTGTTTTGAGTCAAATGATTTGAGCTTTAGAAAGAACAGATAAAGTCTTTTTTATAATATCAAGTGACGGTACGAAGAAGTCGTGCGCCTGGTGGTAAGATACACGCCTATTCATAACAGTTGCAGTACTTTCCATTCAGAGCTTTAAATCGCAAAGATCTTATGAGCACTGCCACTGCGCCCGGCACCCTGAGACATACGTTGTCAAATTCCATGTGCCTGTAATTTCACCAGCAACCTTACCCTTCTAAACCGGATCGCATTAATGCTCACATTACTGCTTGGCGGCAGAAATAGGTAACGAGGCAGTATTTGCCTGGATAAACTATTTCATAATGAGCTCTACTGCTACTATAAGAATGTTGGCGTACACTAAACTTGTCTTTGTTCATCAGTTTTACATGTTTTAACAATAATTATTACGCTACGTTCAATACTTACGATGTGTTTGCCGATAATGTGCAAATTGCAACGTTTCTCTTCAACGAAAAGATGGGGTATGAGAAAGAGTTATCTTATTTCATAAATGATCTCAGTACAGAGTACTAAAAAAATCGACCTCAAAAGCCAAATCAACCATTACAATAATTGCTCCTTATAATAAAATTTAGGCGCTATTTACAAAAATGAATCTTCATGCGTGAACAGCCACCATTAGAGGTGGATATTTTTCTTCAAAATTAAACGGAACCATTATGGAGGCACCCTCTTTCCAACAAAAAAAGAATCATGAAAATCGGATATATCGCAAAACATACGTACAAAAAAAACCATCCAGTCGAATTGAGAACCTCCTCCTTTTTTTGAAGTCGGTTAAAAAGGAAATGTATGCCTCATGTTCTCAAGATTTAACAACTATCAAAATTGTTTTTTCAGCCTTTTGAATTTGAAGGCATCGTAGCGACATCTCTTTCAAATCGTTTAAACTACTTTGCTTGTCTGTTTAATCGACTAAGAGACTATAGTGATAATTAACTAAAAGTGATCCGTTATTTTGGTATTATTAGGTCTTGTAGGTCATTAACCCGTCCATGGGCCAGTACCCCGTTTCGCTGTAATCTCAAAAAATCAATTACGGGCTTTACAATGCGATTTCCTTCGTGTAGTTGTCGCCTACTGCTTCCCCATAAAGAAGTATCAATAACTCTCGCAATAATTTGTATCTTTTTCGTTGGAAAAAAAACCGGCCTCAAAAGTTTGCTTATCGGCTTTTTTCGATTGCCATGTGATCACATCATCAGATTCTAACTTCTTGGTGACAATAGGACTGTTACGGACTCCTTTGTACATTTTATACTTTTTTCTGGTTATCATGGTAACGGTGACTTGTTGATTATAATATGTATTGTGTCAAGTGAAAAGTCGACTTCTATTTGCGGAAAATATTTTTTAATATGTGATAGCCGAAACGAATCTGGAACAGCATCGTCGGCATCAGGGGCCACCTCGAGAGTATACCCCTTCAAACAAAAAAAGAATTTTCAAAACCGGTCCACAATTAATGGAGAAATCCGTAAGTACACTGACATGCCTAAGAAACTTAAAGATTTTTCTGGATTTTCATGGGATTCCTCATCAGATTCTGACTTGGTGACAATGGAACCACCACGCGAGTACAACCTTTCCAACAAAAAAAATCAAAATTGGTCCACAATTGATGGATATAGGAAATATAGGAAAACATACATAAAACAAACATATAGCCGAACGTATAACCTCCTTCTTTTTTGAAATCGGCTAAAAATAAATAACTTTTAAAAACTATTTTGTTTCTTAAAACGTAATGAAACTGCTATATAATGCCGGTTTGTATAGAAAGTTGTTGGTTTAAATTATAGGAATGCCGTGTTACGAAATTTTGGATTAATAAAAAATATCCCAGTTTGACATTTACGTATGGATTATTATTGATTGTCGTCTTGAAGAATTTCTATTATAGAACCTATTTAAAATACGAGAGGACCCCCGTCGCGGCTCATAATTAACTATCTCGAATAAATTACGTCTATATTTGGTCGATTAAATTTAATTAAATGCAATTATTTTTAAATTTATGATTAGTTTAGCTGCTACCGGAATTTGTACAAAATGGTTGGTATTTTAAATATTTGATTTGTTGCGTGTGAAGAGACAGATTCTGTTCCATTTGTTAACAGTTAAATAACGAATATATTTACTGATATGTATACTAATATATTACAGTTCTATATTATGAAGTTATTACTTCAATGTATCTCCACGAAACGGAACAATTGCCTTTCTTTTTATGATACCAAGTGTCGGGACGAACAAGTCGTGCGCCTGGTGGTAAGCGACACGCCGAGATTCAAATCACAAAGATCTGAGGGGTGCTGCTATTGCGCCCGTCATCCTGAGACAAGTCCCATGTGAATTTCACCAGCACCCTTACCTTTCAAAACCGGAACGCAGTAATGCTCACATTACTGCTTGGTGGCAGAAATAGATAAGGTAGCAGTACTTCCCTGGAGAAACTCATTCACAAGGACCTTTACTGCTTCTAAAAACGTATATTAGGGTGTCTATTGAGCAACGCGTCTGCTTTGTGCGACTATGATGATACATTGAAAAGGTTAGCAGCCAACCCTTGCGTCTCAAATTCAGTCAATTAATTGTTTGATTCTGTTCATAATTCTGGTACCCCATGAACCTAACCTGTTTTAACAGCGAATAAGTAATCCGAAACGAGCGTTCAAAACTTTTCATACGCATATTATATCTATTTTTAATCATAAAACACGTTCCCTTTCACGTAATTTAGGTTAAACTTCACAGGACATGTTGCAACTTTGCAATGAACAATTAACATTGACAATTATTAATGCATATATGTATTGTTAAGCTTGTGAAAGTGAAAGTGATTGCAAGTGCACCAAGCAAATAAATATCAATTATGCGTAACAAAATGACTGAGCAACGCGGAACTGAGTCTCGTATAAAGCATAATACCCTTATTCAGGATATATTCTATTTGAGAGCCGCAGGGCACATTGTAGACACTCCCTGACATGTTATAACATTATGTCGCTATATACGCACAGGGGTAATGTACCAACTTGTGTGTAGGACTGCATGCCTGGTGTAATTTTATGGAACTACTACAGTAACACGCAACATAGTGATAAACCGGCTATTTTGTATCGATGTTATATCTAATAGGTCAGGCACTTAATTGCATGCATGTTAAAGTGCTCATATTACGAATTCAATGTAAGGTGTAATTTCATGCGTAATGATGATTAGAAAATTAATATTCGTAAGTAATTAATATCTTAATCTTGCAATTTCAAAATTTTTGTACAGTTGTAACTGTATGTTTTTTACTACTATAGTGGCAGCTATTATATATATATATATATATATATTGAAATCTTCATATATTATTTTACATTTTAGGTTGCGCGCGATTGCAGGCACAGCGCGCTCATAAATCTGAATCACAAGAGATTTATTGCTAGAAATTTAATTTTGAACTAATCTATTCAAAAGTTTATGTCGAATTTCATTGTATAATTTACGCAATATAAAAAATGTTTCATATATACTTAAAAAAATTAGGATATCTTTATGTAAGCATCTTTATGTAATGGTATTAATTTCTATATTGCTATTTCAAATAATATAGAGACACGTTTAATCCGAGAGAAGTGCTCAAGTATAGAAGTTCAATATCTACCGAATATTCTAATTAAGTATATTAGACAAATTTTAAATAGTAAAGATAGGAAGGAAAAATTCACTTACATTGTAGCTTACCTTTGGAGGGAATTTGAGGTCCCTCGGTTTGGTAAAATATTTATCGAGTTTAGATTCGTAGCCCGTTTGCACGTCCACCATTTTTGGAGTTTCGTGGTGAGGATTTCGTACGCGGTAAGTGCCGTATTGTTCACTGTGCTCCGAAATTGTAGGCAGATTCATGCTAGGGGAACTGCTGCTTGACCGGGAGTACGCATAGTTAACAGAACCATCAGACGGGTTCCGAGGTTTTTTAATAAACGCGTACCTCCTCGGCCGCTCCTCCGCAGGCTTTAGGTCGTAAGTCTCAAAATTTTCATTAACGAAATGCTCCTCTACGTCTGTTGTGGGTACATATCGTAGAAGCCTCGGTTCGTTAATTTTTTTTTCGTATTTAACAGAATCAGTTTCGTTGTCCAATTGTTGTAATTTGTGCCCATTCTCTGTTGTATATCGATTCACTTTCCGTTTGGATCTGCGGTCAGTGGTTAGAGTTTGTACATGATCGTCGACAATCTCTGACGCGGACGACGGTCTGTCACCATATAATACGTAATTGCCGTTAACCATCTTTACTGGCTAATTTCGCGGTGAGATTACAGAGGCAATTTCATATACATTTTGCGTAAACATTTCGTCATATTTTTGTCGCTTATTGTAGAGTCATCAGGCATCCTTGGCGCGAGATGACGAGAAAATAAGGCGCGGATGACCGGCACTCGCGTTGGACCACTCACATCACACTGAAGTTAATTGAGCCATGCAACGCGTCGTTTGTTTGTTTGTTGTCTTTTCAATGAATTGCGTAAATTCTTTTCACACTAAAATGCAAACCGATTAAATGGAATTGTGTGTGGTTTCCGTTTGTTTTGTAAACAAGGATTTGATACTGTCGGCGTTATTGAAAACATTTGGTTTCCATGCGATGTTTTGCAAATTCCTTTTAAATATGAATAAACGAAATAAATAAATAAATTATCATCTGCTTACACACCAATACCTATAAAGTTGGTTTTGACAACGATCTTATCCTAACATAAAAACAAGATCTACGATCTTTACGTTGTTGTTATCAACTTGTTTAGTTGTTAGCATTTCATCATAAGTTTAGATTTTTAACCGTTGTTTCTAGAACTATCTATTATGTCCCTAAGTCTATAGTGAGAACATTCGCAATGTTGTAAACGGCAAAGTATGTACCGAGATAATGAGATAACATTCGGAGCGTTATGTCGGCCATTATTGTTTAGGCGGGTTCCCGCGCTTTTTGCCCTGTTTACGCGGGAACGTTCACAGCGCGTGCGCGACAATGGCGGTTGTGCGAGCGCCGCTGGGCGGACGCGACTACGAGAGTGAATTACTGAGATTGTGCAAACCGCATATTTTATGCAACTAATGTGCCGTTATGGATGTCCAAATAAGCTCACATCTTTCATAATACCGGAAGGTTTCAAAATCTTAATACTGTAAAATCGAAATCAGAAGAATCCGAAATTTTCTCAAATAATCACACTCACCGCACCGAAACAAAACAAAAAACAATCTTCTTCAATGAAACCAATCGTGAGACGCTTAGACTATGTAAATTAAAGGACATGTTACGTTGACTTATATAAATCAGACGTTATATGTATATGATGCATTTCGACGTCGAAAACATAAACATGTTATTGTCTTTGTTTAACTAGTACGTGCCGTCTTAAGCCAAAAGAGATAGTATTACATTGGTCTGTGTCAAACACGGGAATCGAAAATACGTAACATGAGGTAGATGATACCGTTCTCAAAGGGAAGTACATCAAATGTCAAAACAAATGTTTTCCAAATGTACTATTGAATTATTCGCATGTATTATAATTGAATTGGTCAAAAATATTGGCAGTGAGAATAAGTAGGTATTAATAAAAATTCGACGCTGCAGCATTAAGGGATATGGCTTTAGAAAAAGTGCAAATCAATCGAATGTTACTTTGCACAGGCATGTGTTATTTTTTTGTCTATAAATCACACAATAGCCCAAATATTTCACGTAATTAGACGTATTTAAGTAGTTTATTTATAAATCTTGCCAAATTTTGCTTTTGTTACTTTAGATTGCCTGTTTGTTTGTATTTTGATGATTGTTGTTAACGACTATTTTGAGATAGTGTTGATCTTGTAAGCATACAGATTATCGATATTCTGTTATTAGAAAAATTCACTACGAGGTTTTTATTGTTTTATTATTATTATTTTTATTATTTCAAGTTTTCCTACAAATGAAAAAAGGAAGAAAGTATGGTTGGAAATCATAGGACTGCCGAATATAAACGTTGGATCAAAGATCATCTTCATTTGTTCGCTTCATTTTAAAGAGTCAAATTTTAACAGAAGTTTGAATGCAACTAGATTACATGACAATGCTATTCCATCATTAGGTTTATTGGTAAGTAATTTTATGTTCAATTTAGATTAAACAAGACTCATTTACTAGGTATTCTCAGTTCCTGAAAACAAAATTATCCACTCGTTTCTGATTTTTCCGAATGACAACTCTAAGTATTAAAAATGACTATTTTTTTAAAGCCTGCAATACAATGACATGTTAGACAAAAGTGGCCAGGTAAAGGCCAATACCAACGTATAGATAGCATATTTGCCTTGCCTTGCCATCGTTCGGTGTAATAATAATATACCACTCGAGATTAAATTATTAAACTTGTGTTTGTTTAGGCATACTTTGGTTATAGTAAACTAAAGAAATAAAAAACACAAACAGTTACAACATTCAAGCCATACATTTGCAAGTCGATAATGACTTATCGACTTATGATTATGGTACAACACTAAAGAAATCCGCCATTTATAACTTTCAAATTTTGGTTATAATAAGCACATTGATTCTGTAGTTAGGGCAGCTCCTTTCTTTTATTGTTTTCCATCTTCTAAGGTGAGACGTTAACTGACGTTGAGACTGATTGACACATTTTTTCCATCCTCTAATAAGATTGACACGGAACAGTATGTCAAATATTGTCAGTGTTTATTACTTAGAGGATGGAAAAGTTTATTACCACAGACCAGATAGAGTTTATTACAATATACTGGAAATGAAAGTGTTATTTTGGATCTAAATCGTGTATGTTTGACTCTTCAAACAAACTAGGCCATTTCAGAATATTTTGGTTTTTTGGATATATACTTTTCAACTTTAGCGTTGCATTATACTAACATTTGAACATTTATTCCCGATTTGAAATGGCAAAGATATGGTTAAGTTTATGTTATACTGTATTGTTTTTGTTTTTTTAGTACTTTTAGAATGTAACAATAAATAAATTAAAAAAGAATGTTAGTACTGTGGTTTACATTTACATTAGACGTAACTGTTTGTTGACAAAATTAAATAATCATCTCAGTCAGCCGTGACCATGGGGCCTGTAAAGAGTTTTTCTCAAACATATTCGGAAATGTTTGCATTACTTTCAAAAAACGAACACGGGAAGTAAGTCATTTATGGACCGTGCGAGGGCCGGGAAGTAAGTATGAAAATCCATTACTGTCCACTTTTCTAAACTTTTAAATCTAGATGAGCTATGTAAACAGGCAAAGGAAATACTCATATAGCCAACTACCCAGTGTTGGCAATTGCGAGAATTAAAAATACCGCTTACTTAAAAAAAAGAAAAAGGCGCTAAAATAAAACAAAGTGCTTTGGTATTCTTTTCTGGTTTTTCATCTTTTTTGTATTTTCGTCGTGAAAATGAGTGAAACGAGCGGTAACGAAAATACAGTAGTAGATTACACTCCTCCAAATTTAAAACGAGGCAATTTATAATTATTAGCGATGGAAAACTTGTTTCCGGCTATGAGCTAAGCAAGATACATGAAAACTTATGAAACTTTCAATCAATAGCAACTAAGGTAAGGTATGTTCGTATATATATCGTAATGTGTAACATTGAAAGATATTAGTTCCGATACTGTAAATAAGCAGAACAAACCTTTGTTTGTTTCAGGTTGCTCTTATTTTAGGGATAAACGATGCATGCAGGAGTACAGAGCTCACGAATATCTCCACAAAGGGTATAGAAAATCACAAATATATTTATGTAATATTACACTTTTAATATTAATTAATTTTGTTTTTTCTACTTTTTTTACTTCTTTTTATATTTACTTTTTATACATCTTCATCTCTTTAGTTTTTTTTATTTGTTCGCATTGTTTCAGAAAAGCACTATACACGCCTTGCCCGGTATGGGGATTGCTTGACTCGTATTAATACAAGACCTCGCTGGCGCTCGGCCTTGTAACTCACTCGTTCAGCAATCCCTTACTTCCCGGCCTCTGCAGTAAAGTACTAAATTTAAAAAAATAAAACAGTATACGTAATTCTAGATCCGAGAAATAGTTTCATAATTGAATTACCTGGCTAGATAATTGATTCCGTTAAAATGATCTGTAAAACAAAAAGTCGAAAAGTCAAAAAGTCGTTATACACAAAAAACAAAGAAAAATTTGTAAGGTCTGTTGGTTCGTTCTGTAGTTGAGAAAGCGTCAGGTATGTTATACTGAAGGCGCTGGTTCGAATCCAAGTAATTTTTCTTAGTATTCGATCTTTGTATTAATAATTGTAACAAACTAGTGGAGTGATTTCACAAGAAGAAATTGATTATCATGGTAGTAAAACATCGTGATATCTTAATATCTATTTTAAGTAAGTCTTAACTCTATTAACTAAAGATTAACAAGGCCATCAATCACACGGTTACGCACATTATTTCCCATTAGAACGCTATACTAAGCTCTAGCTCTCTATCAGTTGGATCTTTCTCACAGTCAAAAGCACGCGAACAATTTTCAAAGGAAAATGCCGTGTAGTCGTATTGGCACATTGTGACCCATCCTTCGAACAACCCATTACTGTCAGTTGGCATTGTAAGTAATTCACGTTATCTTACGACATGCTGTTTTGCCAAATCCGCTGCAAATTGATTTACCGCATGATGCGTATGAGTTCTACAATCAAATTTTATTGACAACCTCGTGGTTTAGTGCTAAAAGCAATCTATGCGTAATGAGGTCTAGAGTTCGAGGTTCTGTTAAACTAATTATGAAAAGTTCTCTTTTCTAAATTTAACAACCATTTGAACTAATGTAGTTTTAGTGTAGGATAGAATTAAATAATGCCAGTGACACTGAATAAAAAGATAACATGATAATAGTGTCTTCGCCTTAATAGATAATAAGAAAATTGCCAGTGTGTGAATTCTTAGTTTATTTATTAGATTACGCGAAATGCAAATTACTTAACAATCTTGTATTTGGCTATAATGTATTTATAGTAAGTATACTTTATGCCTTATAAATAAACGAAATTAGTTGAGATCTTCAAGTGTGACTCCAGGAAGTAATATATTTAGCAACTATATTACATCATTGTACTAACGACAATCGAATTTTTAAAATTTAGTTCAAATAGCGACCTTTTGAGTTTTGAAACTGATTATAAAGTAATTTTTGTCCCTGGTTGTCTTAGTACATACAGTTGGAGCCTTTTTACTTAATTTCTGAGATGTGAGATGATATAGTTCACTCATTTATTGAAAGTAGTAAGTAGCAACAAAGTATATGATTAAATTTTACACAAGATGCTCAGGATATCGTGACTCGAACCAAATTCAACTTTGAAAGATTTGTACTTTAAAACGCACTTAATCTACCGTCAACATACATCCTTGAAAATGCAATGTTCTATTAAAAATACCCTTCCATATTTGAGCCCGTTAAAAGTTACCGCCGCAAATACAAATTATCCCATAAATAGCCCTTACTACCG